AAATGTCCTGTTCTTCGATAATGGATATTTTAAAACCAAATTATTCTTAGTGTCGAACAATTTCAAAACTCCATCTTTCATGACAACTGAGAAACCTTTTTCAACTAGTTGTCCAACACTTAACAAGTTGCATTTCATTCCAGGTACATAGAGCACATCTTTGATCGTAGCTTTCCCTCTATTACTCATTTGAAAGACTATGTTGCCAGTACCTTCTACTTGCAACGAACTATTATCAGCAAGTTTTACCTTGCTCTTCTTCGACTCGTCAAAATCTGCCAACCACTCCTTTCGACCAGTCATGTGTTTCGAGCAACCTGAGTCGAGAAACCAGATATTAGATTCAACATGGTTATTTGCAACTGCAGCCATAACCATCATACCACCTTCATAATAATCTGAATCTTGACGTGCAAGGTTCGCTCCTTCGTCCTTGCCTTTCGATCCCTTGTCTTTTCTGTACCAACAATTCTTGGCCAAGTGTCCTCACTTTTCACAGTTATAACACTGCATACCTTTCTTATCTTCTTTGTCCTTTCGATAGTTTCCTCCTCCCCCTTTCGAGGATTCAGAAGATCTATCTTCGACCTTATTCTTATGGGAATTCGACCAAGACTTCTTGCCATGAGTCTTGTCGAACTTGCCTTTGAATTTGTTGGAACCACCATCTTTTTTCCATGATTGAGCTTGCACTGCCTGTATCGAGTCCTGAACTCCTTTCCTTTCGACAATCCTCATCTCATGCGCCTCCAACAAACCAACCAAATCTTCCACTTTAGTAGTTTCAAGATTGTTAGATTCTTGAATAGCTACGATAACGTGATCAAAGTGAGAGGTCAACATTCTCATTACCTTCTCAACTATCATCTTATCAGTAATGGTTTCACCATAACCCTTCATGAGATGGATGAGTTTCTGAACCTTCGACACATATTCTGCAACTTTTTCATCTTCTCCCATCGACAACAACTCATATTATCGATGCAAGGTTTTTAATTTGACAACCTTGCCTTTCTCACCTCCTTCGAAATACTTTACCAGAATATCACATGCCTCCTTCGCTGTTTCAGCATGAGAGATTCTGTCAAAGTTAGTAGCATCGACAACCGTTTGAATGCAATAAGCAGCATTGCAATCTTTTTTCTTGACTTCGTTGTGGGCTTTTTTCTGTTTGTCAGTTGCATTTGTAGCCAATGTCAGAACACCGTCGGTAACCACTTCTAGGATTTTATGGAAGCCAAATAAGAATTTCATCTGTTTTTTCCATCAGATCCAATTTTTACCGTCAAGCATTGGAAGAGAATTTGGAATGTCCTTATCACTAGTCATCTTCGCAGTGGTTGATTTAATTGCTCTAGAAAAATGATCTCTGACGTGAAATTCTTGAAAACTTGATCAAGAACAATAACCGGAAGCTCTGGATACCAATTTGTTAGTGCGTGAGGCACTTTTAGTAAGGAGAGAAAGAGAGAATAATAAAGGAAATAAGGATTTGTATTATTCAAGTGTACAAATAATGATACACACTATGACTATTTATATACAACTCTAATTGGGCTTGGGCTAACACAACTTGGATTATATTAAATATTAAATCTAATCAAATCTAATCTAATCTAATTTAATATTTCAACAATTGAGTTTTTTCAATCAACTAACCAAACCTTGTACCTATCACATTTTTTTGAATGACAATATAAATAGGGAAGCAAAACAACACCAAAAGTGTTCAACTATCTTAAAATACATAAGCAAGCTTGTACTTATCACTTGAATTCACAAAAAGATTCCAAAAGTAGCGTAAAACGCTTTTAAGAGTAGTATATCAAGAAAAGTGTCGATAGACTTGAACCTTAACACAATGAATAAGATTGAGGTTTAATAAGTTTGGATGTAATCTTGAACTCTATTTATTACATGAGTTTGTTTTTAGGATGTATTCTCAAAAGTTTGTGTTTTTATGACTACACACATTTATCACAACTTAGTAAATACTCGAGAAATATATAAATGAGATTCCATAGGAAGCAATCCTACTTTAAGATTTACAAATGTGGGTCTATCAAAAGTATTATTGTAGCTCGGTATTTCAATTCACATGAGTATAGATCTCATTAAAAATTTATAACACTTTAATCTCTCATCCCTTTAGAAATCGTGCTTCTTTGATTTTAATGACATGTTCATTTTATATCACTTCAAAATTTGTTATTACTCATTGAATGTAATTATTGGAATATATACCCTTTTAGTCTTGATTACCATCGTGAATGACTCTTTTATCTAGTGGCAATGGTCTCATTCTTTTGGACGTGTTTTAGACATTCTCTTTAACTAATTCTTTTGTCAAAAGATCGTCTATGTTTTAATCAGTGCAAACATAATTTACTATAATAACTCCTTTAGAAAAAAAACTCTCTAATAATGTTGTAGTTATGAAGAATTTTTCATCGCTTACTATTGTATTAACAATTATCAATTTTTGCAATAGTTGTGATACTATCGTATTGAATCAAAACAGTTAATATCAATTTTCTCACATGAGAATCTCTGCTAGCAAGTATCTTAATCAACTTTCTTCTTCACTTATGATTAAAAGTGCTATTATTTTTTATTCCATAAATTAAGCGTTCTTAAACTCCCTAGAGACTACTCCTCTAACTATTTCAAACATGTAACAATTAGTTACTTTAGAATTATCTAACAAGGTATTTCAATCAACATTAATATAATCCCTCAAGAACATAGTGAAACTTTTGATAATGTAATCTATGATTTATGGTTTTTTTAATTACCTCATGACTATCCCAGTGGCATTCGAATTCTTTATATTAGGTTTGAACTTACACAAAAATCCTATGGTATATTGGCAATAAGTGGCATACATGAGGCGGCCAAAGATGCTCGCGTGTTTAGATGGTCTTACCCTATCATAAATGTTATTGAAGAGTTTGTTAGATAAGTTATTTTTGGGCTGCTGCAAAACTAAGAATAAATGGAGTTGAAAATAGAGAAATTAATTTGCATGATAAAATTTTAAAGTGTATGATTTTACACTAAGCTTAAGGAACAATTCGTTCTCGCTAATCTTTATATGTTGGATGCAAAAGAAGTTAGCGGCAAATTTTTTATAGAATATTTTGAAATCCTTAAGGAGAATTGTACAATCTCTCTAAACATATCTGTTGATAGTATTTTACAGAAGAATATTTCTTTTACTTGCTCTCATGCATTAAAGAAGAGAAGGATGATTTAGAATGAGAGAGTAATTGAGATTGATTAATTTTCATGTGTTAAATCTGATGCCAAGAAACTCTTATTTATAATGAAGATCACATCTATTAGAAAACAAAAAACACCTCTTAGAGAGAGGTCTTGTATTACACTGTTTCATTATAACATATCAAAATAATTGTTCAGTATAAAAATAGTACTGGTTTGTTGGCAAATTGCATCCCTTCCTAAATAATAGGTAAGCAACATGTTTATTTTGAATTAATTTCACGTTATAACAAAATTATTCAAGGCATCATTAAATTCAATAAATAATAAAAGATTGATGACATGGCATATTAAATTACTAATTGATTTATGAGATGTAAAATTTGAGTATAATATTTATATAATGGTTTCAAATAATACAATCATCCAATTTATTATTTTAGAAATTCTCTCACAGAGTTTAACTGAGATCATATAAAATGCAGAAATATTTACAATATAAAATATTATTTCTCTTTAAGATCTAATGAGACGGATCCAAAGAAATTCTCTTTTGATATAATAATTTTAATATAAAAAATTACACTTGTTTTTTTTTTTATGTCTTTCAAACTATTTACAACATGAATATTTGAGTTAAATATGAGCAAGTCCTTTGCATAGAGAAATATCATAATTCAAATTCAATTTCCAGATTGCAAGTCCTTTGCATAGAGAAATATCATAATTCAAATTTAATTTTCAGATTTTTAGTAAATGCACTAGTCACTTTCATTCCGTTTAAAACCATTAATTATATTGTTAAAATTGTCAGCCTTTACTTCTGAGTTTTTTTGTTTTTAAACCATACATATATTTAACTAACTCATGCCATTGTTTTAGAGTTTTTTTAGACCACACTTATCTGACTCAAAGATCTTAGGAAATTCACTAAATATCTATGATGAATTTCTATCAATCTTGATGAATAAGATTGATATCACTACACAATGATAATGAATTATGAGAAAAGAAAAGAAAGAAGACAATTATTTTCTGCAGAGTTTCTCTCTATCCACAAATGGTGAAAAACTTTATTAATCACTTGCAACTGTAAATTCTGTGATTACAATGAATCGACTTAATTGTCTTCTTTCTTTTCTTTTCTTTTCTCATAATTCATTATCATTGTGCAGTGATATCAATCTTGTTCATCAAGATTAGTAGAAATTCATCATAGAGACCAGAAGAGACTTGTATCGAAATGCATTCAGGAAGTGGTGTTCCGTTGCAAAATGTCAATGGCGTTACAAGTGGAGGAGCATTGTGGACTCACATTTGAGGGAGAGTGTTGGAATAATATAGCAACTGTAAGTAAGTGGGAAAATAGTCCACATTAGATAGGAATGTGGAGATTTAAACATATATAAGTGAGAGAACACACCCACGTATCACCTTAAGATTTTAGGTGGATAAGTGGTGTGCCTCTCACAAAGTTACTTATTCCTACACTATGTATCAATGCTCATAATATCTTCAGATTGTTCTATATAGATCTCTTCTTCCATGTCACTATTTACAAAATCAATTTTAACCTCCATTTGATTTACCTCTAAGTAATAAATAGTGGCAAGTGAAATGAGTAATAGTAGATGTTATCCTTATAAGTGGAAAAATGTGTCAAAGAAATCCTATATTTCTTAACAGTTCCTTCGTGTTTTAGTTTCCTTTACAATATAAGAATAAAAATGCAAATATAATTCAACCATAAGAAGCACTTATTATATCTCCAAAATCACTTATAAGTTTGCAGCATTTCCTTGAAGGAGACCATCCCTAATCTGCACAGCAATGTCTCTAACAGCACCAGGACCATGTGGTATGAACACAGATGACGATTTCGACGACGCACCTATTTCCTTCATGGTGTCAAAGTATTGAATCACCAACACCATGTCCATGACATCTTTAGCTGATGTTCCGGGTACGTTATCGGAGAATGCGAGAACACTGTCCCTCAGTCCATCCACAATAGCTTGACGTTGACGAGCTATACCAAGTCCTGATAGGTACTTGGACTCGGCTTCTCCTTCAGCTTTCTTGATCTGCAATATCTTTTCTGCTTCGGCTTTCTCGTTTGCAGCCAACCTCATTCTCGCAGCTGTTTATGATATCACAGAAAAAAATAAGAATATAACCGCAACTGCCATGGTCGATCAAAATTTTATCATTTATAGTATAAGCGCTTATCAAATAAGTGCTTTATTAAGCAAAATGTTTTTTTGTTGAGGAATAGGAACTAGAATATATTACCTGCGTTGATCTCATTCATTGCTCTCTTGACATTCACATCAGGCTCGATATCAACAATGAGAGTCTGGACTATCTCATAACCGTAGGTCGACATCGCCTTCTCAAGCTCATCTTCGACAGCCTTTGCTATATCATTCTTCTGCTCAAAGACGGCATCCAGCTCCATAATCAAAACAACACTTCTTAATATAAAAAGAGAAACCTAAATTCAAGAAAAATTATAGAGAGAGAATTTCAACTTGTATTTGCAGCTAAAGAGAGATAAAAAATTGAAAGTTATGAGTAATGGAAAATATGAAGTGGTTCTTTTATATACACGAAAAAGCACAGTAACCAATTTCAGGAAGTAATTGATTTGAAAACGATGTTTTTGTTTTTATGTTCCTCTTTCCGTTTTTTTAACTCATATAGTATACGTGTGGAATAACAAAAATATTGTTTTTTAAACTTAATTTTAGTTTTAAAAAATGAAAATAAATTACAAATTCAAAAAATTGTTAATTATGGAAATATGATATAGCAATTTTGGGGAATTGTTTTTTTTTAAGAAGAGGTTTCTATAAAAGAATTTTTTTTGCTTAGGATGTTTATTGTGTTTATACAGTACTTTTTCGGAGCTTAAAGTTTGATTTTCTCAAACTATTTGTTTTGAGTCTTAACTTAATCCTAACAACAGTTTAACGTTGGATTTGTTTTCTCGAATTACTTTGAAAATATTAAAGTCATAATATTATCTTTATAAGTGTTAGTTGTTTCAGAATGCTAATGTATTTAGATGCTGCAACAAAGAAGTTTTTAGTAAAGAGATTTTTTTGAATATTTTGCAAGAGTTTTAGTTTATATTGATTTATCTATTAAAATTAGACATAAATTGTGGATCGAAATAAAAGATTATGCTTTTCTTATTAATGTTAAATATGAAAATTTATCACTTTTTTTGTTCATAATGTCAATAACATTGGTCATACTTTTTTGTCTTGTAAACTTGTTAAAATAGATAAAGAAAAATGGATAATTAATGAGAAGTATAATCACATGGAGAATAAGTTTATGCCTGTTCAGAATGTAAAATTAAGAAAAGAATAAGTTGAATGTGTAAATGTTACTAAAAAATAGGTGGATAATAATCCTCTTTTAGGATTTGTTGATTGTTTGAAAATCACTATTGGTAGAGATGTTGTAAGTATTGATGTGTTGCATCAAGGAGACTTGAGTATTCAAAATATTGAGAATTTATATGGTTTACCTTCAAACTCTTAAACTTTTGTATTTTTTTTTCACATGTGTTTAGAATATTATAAAATGTTATTTTACTATTTTTTTTTAAATGAGATGAATTGAATATGAATTTTTTAAATTTCAAAAGATATTGTTAAAAATCTCGGCTTAGAAATCAAATTTTAAATTTTTTTTCGAGAAACTGTTTAAAACGTTCTAAACATATCCGTAAAATAATCATTCAAAAATACAAGAGACTAAAATTACGTGCATAATAATTTTATAAGACTAAAATAATGTTATATTTTTTATAAGAATAAAAGACAAAATTAAGTAACTTATAAGAAACAAAACATATTTAACTTTTCAATTAATATCTTTAATTAATATGGAGATAATTAATTTGATTTTTTATAAAAGGGGATACAACATCGTTTCATGCCAAGAATCGCAAACTATAGACATTTCTTTCATAGTATATTCTTCTGAGTTTTGAGTAGTTTCTCATAAATAATTTATTTTATAATTGTTCTGGACTGGACCTGTCTTTGATGTAGTTGTTTAGGTATTGGCATGCATTTTTGGTAAAATCAGGTGTATGAATGTCATGACTGATGTCATAACATTCTAGTTTATTAGGTACAGATTTATTAGGTACCTTTGCAGAAAAATATTGTCATACAGGTACTGATGTTTATGAGTGTGTATCTGAGCATTTTGCAAAATGATCACATTTACCAAAATCAGTAAACAGGAATTCAGATGTCATAACAAATGTTAAGACATCCTGTTCTGAACTAACAGGTATGCAATTTGGTTAATTCTGAGTTTTTTCAGGAAAATGACTCAGTCTTTCCAGAACAGAATCCAGCGTTTTCTTTGGGTTAACCTAGCTCAACCCCAACCTGGTTGATCTAGTCCCGTGACCTAGTCTTAAGATCAAACGGATTTAACCCTAGCTTTTTGTGGAAACCCTAACTGAAGATGCAGCTGCTATATATTCAACAAAGCTGCTGTCTTGGAATGTATCCCTTTTTGACAGAAGATCATTTAGAAGCTGTATAGTTTTAACTATTGTAATTCAAGCAATTATCATTGTGATAAGTGACTTGGAATAAGTTTTAATTGTAAGGGTTGTGTATCACTCAAAGCTTTGAAGCAAGAGTGTTTGTATGTCTCTTGACTAAAGCTGTGAAGCAAAGTCAAGTCAGGTCTGTGTATCACTCAAAGCTGTGAAGCAAGAGTGTTTGTGTTGCTTGATTAAAAAGCTGTGAAGCATAATCAAGTGTATGTTTTGAAGAGTGTCTTCATCAATTCATTAGTCAAATTGTTTTATGTATCACTGCTGTGATTGAGGGGGAGTGAGTAGGAACTCAGGTTTAAGTTGTACTTAGATTGAAGTTGCATTGGGTAGGTCTTAAGTGAAGGAGATAAACTGGTTGGTTTATTCCTGAATTAATATCTCTTATAGTGGATTTCCTCCCTGGCTTGGTAGCCCCCAGAGTAGGTGTTGTTGCACACTGAACTGGGTAAACAATTGACTGTGTTCTTTACTGTTTTTGTATTTACTGTCTTATAGAAAGTCAGATACGGTGTCATAACATTGAACGTGACATTGAGTATCTGCAGCCAGAATTTCACTTGACCTAACTACTAGTGAGGCCCAATCCAAACTTGCTAACCTACTGTGCTGAGCAGTATTTTCACCAAGCACATCCCGACTACAAATGTCTTATCGATCAAGACTGCTTCCCGTTGGTGCTCGCAGAGACCATCCCCGAGGAGCACGCGCTCCTCCCGAGCACCTTCCTCGTAGGGCTGACTTCCAACCTCTCAGGATTTTGCGGAGTCTTCATGGTCTCGGAAAGATCGCATCCCTATCCTCCCTGTCTTGCGGAGGACGTTATCCAGGTAGGGGGCCACGCGCAGGTCCCCACTACACACGTAGAACCTGGCAGTATCTTTGTTGGACCTATTTAATCAGCCCAATAAAGAGACCTTGGCCCAACGCTGAGGGCTATAAATACCCTCTCTTTTGAGAGGGTCAGGTATTCAACTCATATCTCAGAACTCTTACTTGCTTGCTCATTCTGCTTCTTACTTTGCCATCAGAGTGTCTTGCAGGAACCCCCCATCTCACTCAACTTCTGCCCGAGCCAGTTGTGACAGTCCATCTCTGATCCGGTAAGATCAGTGGCGCCGCCTGTGGGAAACTAAGCTTCCCCGTCTTCTATTCACTCAAGACCAAAAGATAAACAATCCTCAACTGTTATGGCTGACCAGACTCCAGACAACCTGAACGTCCGTGTCATCGACGTTAACAACAACATCGCCAACAATAATACCGGTCTCGACAACGCCAGTACCGCCGTGTTAGCTGGAAATTTCGACTAAAGGTTTTCTAAGTTAAACTCGAATGTACTTCAGAATATTCCACTACTTTATTTATGTGAAGACATAAAGGTTGAGATTTGAATTGGGTAAAATTCATTGGGAAAGCTTACCAATTCGAATTATTGAACAAAAATTATATTCGAAATATGGTTAAAGTTTCAAACATGTTCGACCATCTTCAGAGATTGGCGCTCAGGATAAGAAGGAGATTCGAATTCAAATAATTTGGTGTTATCCGAAAGGACGCGTGGAAGGCTCTGAATTCGTTGAAGTCATGCAAACAGAAGCGTGGCATTAATTCGTGTAGAAGACCGTTAGAGTCGAAGTAGTATAAATATTGACATTAGTATTCCGATAGAGGTGTGTGAACATCTTTGTACAAATTACTCAGAAATTACTCAAAGTGCCAAGTGTTAAAGAGAAACGAGTTTATTGAGGATGTACGTATGATACATCCATTTAATATAAATGCATTTACTTTCTACAGAATTTCCAGTAACATTTACTTAAGTCCTTTACCATTTCAAGTTTAGAAGTAATTTTACTTTCACTTTATATGAATTTTAATTCGACATTTGAAGTCATTTGTCTTCATATACAAAACATGTTAAATACAATAATCAAGTTAAAAGATTAATAAAGACACTCGTGTCCTGAGATCAATCTGATCGATCTTGTAAGTAACTGGATCCGTGAAAGGATTTGGAAGATCAGAGGTTGTTTACCAAAATTCGAGGGTAAACAAATTGGCACGCCCAGTGGGACCTGTGTCTTTATCCATCTTGCTTTTTACTTGTTTATTGCATGAGATTGAGAAGTGGAAAACTAGCCAACAATATAAATCCTAGACCAAAAGGGAAACACATTAGGGGAATGGCTAACCCACCCACTAGTGAGGCGCAACAAGTTCACCCTCCTGTGGGAGGAAACACCAGCGCCTCGAATACAAACGAAGTGGCGACGACAAGTAAAGGAACTGCAACGATCCCTTCGACAGCAAGCGTTGCAGTTAAACCCCAAAATACAAACGCTTTGACTATTTCGTCAAACCACCATAACGAACATACCGTTATGTCTATAGCAAATCAAAATCCACCATAACCGTGAACATCATTCTCATAGTCAAATGTGATTCCTTGGACGAGTGTGTCGTGAGGACCATCCCTTCTAGCATAACCAAACTATCGCAACGCCAAACAAGGATTATAAATGATTCCTCCCCTAATGCCTAAGAGAGGGACATTAGGGAATTCCCCATAGCGATCAATGATGGTAACATTTTCCAAGGATTGAGAACACCAATGAATATACGAATGTGTAAGGGACATCAACCTATGAGACCATCTCATACCCTGTTCATTTCTCAAGACAGACCGAGGTAGGTGCGAAATAAACCACCTAGCCAATAGAGGAGTGCAACATAGAAGGGTCCCTCTTCTCTTTAGAGTGCGAGTATGAAGAGAGTGCATAATATCCCTAAGTAAAGTAAGCACCGGATTATGTGACAGAAAAACCTTAACCACATTCACATATATGAGTTGGTCCGTGTTAGGG